AGTATTTGGTTCCTGTGACGCCATAAGCATGAGAAAACTAAAAGTTACCTTCAACTCAATTGCGCTATATGGTTTTAATTTAAACCGCAGGGAGCACATAACATATTACTCAAAAAAAATTTTTGAACTAAGCCTTGAGTCATGGATTAAGTTAAAAACCCTCTTATTTCTGCATAAACTCGTGACTAAAAAAGGAGCCGCAGTACTAAATTGAACATGTGCAACTGGCTTCGCCTGCTAGAACAAACAACATTGTTTGCAAAAGATTGAAATTGACGATGACGGAAAAACACTTTTTCAGCCTGTTCGCTATTGGAATAACCTCCCAAACAATATTAAAACTTTATGAAATGAAACGCACTTAAAAAACGAACTTATAAGCTATTTAAAGGGTACAAGCTAATTCTTATTATTTTTTTATTCTTAATTTATTATTTTTAATGTTAATCTCAATTTGTTTCAAATTCAATTCATTTCTTTATGCTACTCATATCACCATAACTAATTAAAAGTATTAATCTGTAAATGTTAAAATGCATTGTTATTGTAACGTAATGTAATGTAATTGTATTTAAATTATATTGTACGAATCCCAAAGTAATTAAGTTTAAGTGTAACAATCACAAAGTGACCGATGAATCTGAAAAGACTTAGTTCACAATTCAATTCAATTCAATTCAATTCAATTCAATTCAATTCAATTCAATTCAATTCAATTCAATTCAATTCAATTCAATTCAATTCAATTCAATTCAATTCAATTCAATTCAATTCAATTCAATTCAATTCAATTCAATTCAATTCAATTCAATTCAATTCAATTCAATTCAATTCAATTCAATTCAATTCAATTCAATTCAATTCAATTCAATTCAATTCAATTCAATTCAATTCAATTCAATTCAATTCAATTCAATTCAATTCAATTCAATTCAATTCAATTCAATTCAATTCAATTCAATTCAATTCAATTCAATTCAATTCAATTCAATTCAATTCAATTCAATTCAATTCAATTCAATTCAATTCAATTCAATTCAATTCAATTCAATTCAATTCAATTCAATTCAATTCAATTCAATTCAATTCAATTCAATTCAATTCAATTCAATTCAATTCAATTCAATTCAATTCAATTCAATTCAATTCAATTCAATTCAATTCAATTCAATTCAATTCAATTCAATTCAATTCAATTCAATTCAATTCAATTCAATTCAATTCAATTCAATTCAATTCAATTCAATTCAATTCAATTCAATTCAATTCAATTCAATTCAATTCAATTCAATTCAATTCAATTCAATTCAATTCAATTCAATTCAATTCAATTCAATTCAATTCAATTCAATTCAATTCAATTCAATTCAATTCAATTCAATTCAATTCAATTCAATTCAATTCAATTCAATTCAATTCAATTCAATTCAATTCAATTCAATTCAATTCAATTCAATTCAATTCAATTCAATTCAATTCAATTCAATTCAATTCAATTCAATTCAATTCAATTCAATTCAATTCAATTCAATTCAATTCAATTCAATTCAATTCAATTCAATTCAATTCAATTCAATTCAATTCAATTCAATTCAATTCAATTCAATTCAATTCAATTCAATTCAATTCAATTCAATTCAATTCAATTCAATTCAATTCAATTCAATTCAATTCAATTCAATTCAATTCAATTCAATTCAATTCAATTCAATTCAATTCAATTCAATTCAATTCAATTCAATTCAATTCAATTCAATTCAATTCAATTCAATTCAATTCAATTCAATTCAATTCAATTCAATTCAATTCAATTCAATTCAATTCAATTCAATTCAATTCAATTCAATTCAATTCAATTCAATTCAATTCAATTCAATTCAATTCAATTCAATTCAATTCAATTCAATTCAATTCAATTCAATTCAATTCAATTCAATTCAATTCAATTCAATTCAATTCAATTCAATTCAATTCAATTCAATTCAATTCAATTCAATTCAATTCAATTCAATTCAATTCAATTCAATTCAATTCAATTCAATTCAATTCAATTCAATTCAATTCAATTCAATTCAATTCAATTCAATTCAATTCAATTCAATTCAATTCAATTAAATTAAATTCAATTAAATTCAATTAAATTCAATTAAATTCAATTAAATTCAATTAAATTCAATTAAATTCAATTAAATTCAATTAAATTCAATTAAATTCAATTAAATTCAATTAAATTCAATTAAATTCAATTAAATTCAATTAAATTCAATTAAATTCAATTAAATTCAATTAAATTCAATTAAATTCAATTAAATTCAATTAAATTCAATTAAATTCAATTAAATTCAATTAAATTCAATTAAATTCAATTAAATTCAATTAAATTCAATTAAATTCAATTAAATTCAATTAAATTCAATTAAATTCAATTAAATTCAATTAAATTCAATTAAATTCAATTAAATTCAATTAAATTCAATTAAATTCAATTAAATTCAATTAAATTCAATTAAATTCAATTAAATTCAATTAAATTCAATTAAATTCAATTAAATTCAATTAAATTCAATTAAATTCAATTAAATTCAATTAAATTCAATTAAATTCAATTAAATTCAATTAAATTCAATTAAATTCAATTAAATTCAATTAAATTCAATTAAATTCAATTAAATTCAATTAAATTCAATTAAATTCAATTAAATTCAATTAAATTCAATTAAATTCAATTAAATTCAATTAAATTCAATTAAATTCAATTAAATTCAATTAAATTCAATTAAATTCAATTAAATTCAATTAAATTCAATTAAATTCAATTAAATTCAATTAAATTCAATTAAATTCAATTAAATTCAATTAAATTCAATTAAATTCAATTAAATTCAATTAAATTCAATTAAATTCAATTAAATTCAATTAAATTCAATTAAATTCAATTAAATTCAATTAAATTCAATTAAATTCAATTAAATTCAATTAAATTCAATTAAATCAATTAAATTCAATTAAATTCAATTAAATTCAATTAAATTCAATTAAATTCAATTAAATTCAATTAAATTCAATTAAATTCAATTAAATTCAATTAAATTCAATTAAATTCAATTAAATTCAATTAAATTCAATTAAATTCAATTAAATTCAATTAAATTAAATTAAATTAAATTAAATTAAATTAAATTAAATTAAATTAAATTAAATTAAATTAAATTAAATTAAATTAAATTAAATTAAATTAAATTAAATTAAATTAAATTAAATTAAATTAAATTAAATTAAATTAAATTAAATTAAATTAAATTAAATTAAATTAAATTAAATTAAATTAAATTAAATTAAATTAAATTAAATTAAATTAAATTAAATTAAATTAAATTAAATTAAATTAAATTAAATTAAATTAAATTAAATTAAATTAAATTAAATTAAATTAAATTAAATTAAATTAAATTAAATTAAATTAAATTAAATTAAATTAAATTAAATTAAATTAAATTAAATTAAATTAAATTAAATTAAATTAAATTAAATTAAATTAAATTAAATTAAATTAAATTAAATTAAATTAAATTAAATTAAATTAAATTAAATTAAATTAAATTAAATTAAATTAAATTAAATTAAATTAAATTAAATTAAATTAAATTAAATTAAATTAAATTAAATTAAATTAAATTAAATTAAATTAAATTAAATTAAATTAAATTAAATTAAATTAAATTAAATTAAATTAAATTAAATTAAATTAAATTAAATTAAATTAAATTAAATTAAATTAAATTAAATTAAATTAAATTAAATTAAATTAAATTAAATTAAATTAAATTAAATTAAATTAAATTAAATTAAATTAAATTAAATTAAATTAAATTAAATTAAATTAAATTAAATTAAATTAAATTAAATTAAATTAAATTAAATTAAATTAAATTAAATTAAATTAAATTAAATTAAATTAAATTAAATTAAATTAAATTAAATTAAATTAAATTAAATTAAATTAAATTAAATTAAATTAAATTAAATTAAATTAAATTAAATTAAATTAAATTAAATTAAATTAAATTAAATTAAATTAAATTAAATTAAATTAAATTAAATTAAATTAAATTAAATTAAATTAAATTAAATTAAATTAAATTAAATTAAATTAAATTAAATTAAATTAAATTAAATTAAATTAAATTAAATTAAATTAAATTAAATTAAATTAAATTAAATTAAATTAAATTAAATTAAATTAAATTAAATTAAATTAAATTAAATTAAATTAAATTAAATTAAATTAAATTAAATTAAATTAAATTAAATTAAATTAAATTAAATTAAATTAAATTAAATTAAATTAAATTAAATTAAATTAAATTAAATTAAATTAAATTAAATTAAATTAAATTAAATTAAATTAAATTAAATTAAATTAAATTAAATTAAATTAAATTAAATTAAATTAAATTAAATTAAATTAAATTAAATTAAATTAAATTAAATTAAATTAAATTAAATTAAATTAAATTAAATTAAATTAAATTAAATTAAATTAAATTAAATTAAATTAAATTAAATTAAATTAAATTAAATTAAATTAAATTAAATTAAATTAAATTAAATTAAATTAAATTAAATTAAATTAAATTAAATTAAATTAAATTAAATTAAATTAAATTAAATTAAATTAAATTAAATTAAATTAAATTAAATTAAATTAAATTAAATTAAATTAAATTAAATTAAATTAAATTAAATTAAATTAAATTAAATTAAATTAAATTAAATTAAATTAAATTAAATTAAAATTCAGGCCCATCCTAATATGCTTGCGCATATTACCAACCATTGTAGATCTGTTTTTTTTTCTTAATTTTAATTTAATAAGTATATGAGAATAGGATTTGCCTATTTGGCTCTATGAAAGAAATTCGATAAATAAAAATCCATATCAACAAAAAAAATACAAAAAACTGCTATAATTTAAAAAATATATTTCACGATTGACTTACCTGAGATGGTATTGGTAATTCCGAGCAACAAATTTTTTTTACGACAGAATATCGATCGTCTCTACTGTTATGACAAATACAGACGACAATTTGTGAATCTATAGCTATATTTCGCCGTAAAGCTTGAATATATGCATCGGCTCGATCACATTCTAACGAAATCATTGTTGGTTTAGCAACATTCATGCCGAGAGACTTACAACATTGTTTCATATTATCAAGCAGGTTGGTTGCAGCTGGTGTATCATTCCTCAAATGTATTATTATCCATTTATTTAAGTGGATTACTTCCAACATTTCATTGCTGACAGCGTGTTTGGAAAACTCTGCATTTTTTCCTGCTGACACAGACGTTTTAAAAAAATAAATTGGTTCTGCGTCCATTTGACGTCCTTTTAGCTTGTTTAAATTTTTATTAAGTGAAAGACCCCAACTGTTCAGAATATCTCGAGCCGCAGTAGTTTTGGAAACATTGTCGTAAAACTTGTTTAACGCCAGTTGCCGTTGATTTGGTGACACTCTTGTAAATGTCGCGATTTCACGCATAAGTTTATGATCTGAACGAATATCATCTCGAAGTCCGGTAAGGTAACACAGTTCAGGAATTAAACAGAACTGTATGCTTTCGTTGTCTTCAATGCTTGTTCTTGATTTCTTTATACTTAGAAGCAATGGTTGATTAATATCTATTATGTTTATGTTGTGATATTGTTTGTAATATTCTATATAACTTGTGGCTCCAGTTTTGGCAAGAAACTCAGACTTCGGACTTTGATCGAAGCAAATCTCATTTATTTTATAAGTACGATTATTATATCTTGTTAAGACTATATTTCCAATCAACGTCTTTTTAGCGCATTCTTGATATTGGTGTGCGTTTTGCTTGTATATATCCACCAGCATTTCTAAAACTGTTTTTTGACATAGTATACGATGTGAAACGTCACAGCAAAGCATTAAACCACCTTCGTGTTCATCTACGGCTGTAACATAGCCTGGCCAAACTTCTAGCTTTGCCAACGGTATAATTTTTGGACGAGAGGGGTCAAACTGTTTCCGATCAAATTTTACATAATTTAATGTTTTCATGACCCTATCAAATAAAACATTATATAAATGAGTGCAATTCGCAAGAGCCTCCTTTTTTTTGAACAAAATACGAATCTGCAATTCAACGTTTTCCACCTTTGAAACAAAAACGGTCATCTGATTTGGTAACAAGATTGGTAAATATAAGGTGTTTCCGTCAAATGTTTTGGTTCCTCCGAGCTTATCATTATGATCGTTTAAAAATTTTAATCTTAAATGAACAGAATCCACAGGTGGAAAAAAACGCACTTCGTAATGAAAAACCCCTTTTGATTTATCCGTCGTAAGCTCTAAGTAATTACAAGATAAATTTACAGATGAACCTGAAAAAAAATAATAATAATAAATAAAAAATAATGACAACTATTAAGGTTGCGGTGACATAGCCCTAACCAAACTTAGACGGTAAATTGCAATCAAAGCCCTACCCTTAGGGTTTATTTTTTTTTAATTTTTTGTTGTACCTGATTTTGAGTTGTTAAGTCCCCTGCCGCCGCCCTATGCTCATTAGAAGTTGTGATTGCTAATGAAGGGTCAGCTTCTAGTGCTGGCACTGCAGATCGATAGATGACGTCACTTTAGTCCCGATTGATTTGTGTGAAAATATTTGTTTTTAAATTTGTTGGCTGAGTAATGGGTATCGAACAAGTGTGGGAAATTGACTATAGCACTCTTTCGTGTTTATAATGTACAATATTTCGAGATGGTTAGGGCAAGACTTTAAGTAAATCGGGGTAAAACTGACAAAGTTACAGCGGTTGAATCGACTCGATCATCGTGTTTTATGTTGGAATTTCGAACAGAAAAAAAAAAATGAAAAATTACCTTGTGATGGCCTATGACCACATTTTTAGAAAGGGCGCCGGAGACTGACTGTCATAGAAGTATAGATAATCATTTATGTTAAGACTCTTAATTTACAAATATATAACATGTATACAAAATAAATACATGTTTTTAGAGTTGAAAGTGCGATCGTCACGTTATTACCTCATCTAGATGTTTTTTCGACTGATTCAGAAAAAATTATAAAAAAAATTATAAAAAATTATAAAAAATTATAAAAAATTGTATGGAAAAAAAGTTTATTTTTTAAAATTAATTTTTATACAAAATTAATTTATTAATATTTATTTTTTTTAATTTTAGTTTTAAATTAATTTTTATAAAATTTGAAAACTATTTTTTAAATCATTTTTACTTTTTGAATTTGAGAATTACTTGGTGATGTTGTTATATTTAAAGGAATTTTTTTATGATTTTTTTAAGAATGCAATTTAATGGTTTTTTTTAACACCTTTATTAATTTTTTTTAAAACAAAAGTTTAATATATTTGTAATTTGTTTGTTAGTTGTTGTTATTAACTTGTACAGAGGACCAAGAATTAATTTTTTTATTAAAGAACACCAAGACCAGAAGTCGTCCTCTATGATTTGGATGATGAAAAAACCGAAGGACACGGTTGTGAACCCTGTTCAATAAATAAATTCTTTTGTAGGGTTTAACATTATTTTTTTTAATTTAATTACACATTATTATACAATTTTTAAAGAATGAAAAAAAAAATTCAAAGAAAAATAATGTAATAAGTTGGTGACTGTTAAGGATAGTAAATAAATACAACCTTTTTGTTTGAGTTCTGTATTGAAAACTGTTTCATTTTATTTAAAACTTCTTGACAAGAAACTTATGTGAAAATCTTATTCTAATCTTAGTTATGGTCTACGCAGAGACCTAATCTTTTAGTCTGGGCGGGGGAGTTATTTATTTTGCCCCCCGCACAAGAACTCTCGGTATTAGATAGCTCAAGTGGCCTGCTGCTACAGATTACAAGTGCATTTGAAAAACTGACCCTTGTCGGGTCCCAGATCGTAAATTATGGCTCTTGATCGAATTACACAGTTCTACATGACATGTGCAGAGCTCATTAAATCTTTGACACAATATTTATCAGTGTTCGTCTGAACATTCTGGCAAGGGCCGGCAAACTGTGGTGTATGTGTTGTAATTACATAATTGATTCAATTGAAATATAACATTTTTAGGATTACAAAAATTGAATCTTTAATTTATTTATTTTTAATCCAAACATTCTTTAACATAATTTATTTATAACATAATTTGATTAAATATTAATTCTACCGTTTGGTATGGCAATGGCTTGTAATTGCCTTCGTACATTTATTTTTCTTATAAAATATACAGTTAATACAAGTATTATAATAATTGCCAAAATTAAAGAAGCATGTCCAGTTACATGATGGAAGTCTAATTCTTTTAATTCTAACTTGTGAGTCTTTAAATATTGTATTTCTTGTGTTAATCGATTGATTTCATCAGTATGATTTATTAAGGGCAAATCGAGCTGGTTCCAAACTATCTTCGGTACATCATTAAGCTCTCCAATATAAGACACAGAAAATGTTCCCTGATCTTCTAGCTGAATACTGTGTTGGGCAACTAATATTTTGTCATCAGTTCGAGCAGTACAATCTGAACTTAGCGTTAATATTCCTTGCTCAGGTAAATCCACTATTTCTATTTTCGAGTTGCTGCTCTGAATTCTAGCCCTAGAATGGTTCTGAACCTTAAAAAGCCAACTGCTCTTCCTTTCTAACTCGACCCAATATGATTTACTCTCAATCACTGATTTATATTTGCAATCTGATTGCTTATTTGGTTTGAGAGGCTTAAGCTCACAACTATTATCGTTAGCACTACTCCAAGGCCAACTTCCTTCACAAACCCTTTTATTAGATTGCCATCTTTGACACTTATTAATGGTTGGTTCTGTCATGAGGTGATAAGCATCTATTTCAAAATAGTAAATTAAGTACTGAGAATCGACATGTACTGTAATCATACGTTCATCTAGCCTAACTGGTACTGGGATAATTTTATAAAGCACCGAAGCATGTCTTCCAAAGGTATTTTTGCATTGATAATTAACTTTTTATCTACAAAGAACCCCCTAGCCGTGAGTAAAGTATAAACCTCTTTTAATTCTGTACCTGTTCTTTTTCCTGGCAGAATTAAATTCTCTGACAAACTGTCTTTTATTTGGGAAATCTCACTTTTCAACTGACTAGGTTTCAATATATTGGTATTAAGTCGACCATGATTGATGTCAATTAACAGGCTTATGACACCGGATTGAATCTTTTCGCATTCATCTATAATGTTACTTAATTGTTTTGTTATCATGAAGAAGTTGATGGACTCCTTGTACACATAATAAGATTCCTGCAATACCGCCGTCATGTTCTCAATTCTTTTATTCATTCCTTTAAAGTTTAAATTAACTTCTTCAGTAGTTCTTTTCAAAATATTAGTCGTAGAATCAACTAAGGAAGTTTGTTTCCTACTTAACTCATTAAGATTATGTTGATTGCTTAATAAGTTTTTCATATTGTCCTCCATTTGTATCCTGTCGTCTTCATCCATTATCCCAAATAAAATGTCATAAAGCGATCCCATAAATCCAAACAGAGCTCGTTTATTTCTTGATTTCCCCTGAGCCATAAAAGGTTTATTATTTTCTTCTAAGTCTGAGATCTGCCTTTCTGTGTTATTGAGAACTAAAACACACTGATCCTCAAAACTAAGAAGCCTTTCGCAAATTACTCTCATTTTTGGGATTAAATCTTTACCTTTTTTAATCATCTCGAAATAAGCGTCCATATTATAAAATATAATTAAATTCCAAGAGGAGGCTACAATCTCTACGTCACCCATTGGATCTAGATATATAGCCGAAGTTTTGTTTATTTTCTCAATTGCATATTTTGGCTGATCAACTTTAGCTGAAGCGTAAGAGAATTGACACAATATACATAATAACAATGCCATTATAAAAGAAAGTTTCGATATTGTCGATGTACCTCTTGTTCGTCTTTCAGGTTTTGTTTCTTCAGGGTCAGATTCAACTTTGTCCACATACTTAATTCCTTCTAAAGGACAAATTTTAGTGATTGGTCTACTTACAAATCCATCTTTTATTTTTATTTCTACCACTCTGACCTTTTCATCTTTGCCCTTGTGGATCCTTTCTACTTTGCCTATTGGCCATCTGGCTGGATGAGTATTCTCATCTTTTAATAACACAATTTGTCCCTCTTCTATATTAGGACTGTCTCTCTTCCACTTGTGCCTCTGTTGCAGAGTATGTAAATACTCCTCTTTCCACTTAACCCAGAAATCTCTTTTAACTTTTTGGATTAGTTTCCACCTGTCTAAATTCCCAATTCTCTCATTTTCAATTGGTTCAACTATTTCTAGCGGTGGTCTACCAATCAAGAAATGTCCTGGTGTCAGGACTTCATCTTGATCAATTTCATTTTCATGGGTATACAATGGTCTTGAATTTAAGCATGCTTCTATCTGACATAAAAGTGTTGACATTTCTTCGTATGTCAGACTATTTTCCCCATTACCCGTTTCAGATGGTATTTCATGGATTTAACTCCAGCTTCCCAAATACCTCCGAAGTGAGGTCCTGCCGGGGGATAAAATGCCAATCAATTCTATCTTTTTCGAGCTGCGCGGCAATCATTGTATTTTCCTTGATTGCTTTAACTAAATCTTGATCTAATTTTCTTGAGGCTCCTACGAAATTAGTTCCGTTATCCGAATAAATATTAGCACATTTACCTCTTCTAGCAATAAATTTTCTTAGTGCTGCTAGAAATGCTTCCGAGGTTAAATCACTTACCATTTATAAATGTATGGCTTTGGTGGCCATACAAACCAATACGGCAATGTATCCCTTATACGTCTTTAGTCCACGATTCCTGGAACATTTGACGAAATAAGGACCTGCGTAATCTATTCCAGTATTAAAAAATGGGTACGACATCATAACTCTGTATCTAGCCAGGTTGCCCATTATTTGTTGAGCTGTATTTTGTTTGTATCTCGCACACTTGACACATTCTTTTAAATACTTTTTTAATGAATTTTTTAACCCAAAAATCCAATACTTTCTTTGGATATAATTTCGCATTAGGTTTATTCCTCCATGCAAAGTTTCATTATGAGCATTTTTTATCAACAAGTTAGTTAAATGGCATTTGTCCAAGATTGTTGGGTGCTTAACTTTAAATTCTGCACCGGAGTTTTCTAGTCTTCCTCCCACTCGCAGAATACCATCACTATCTAAAAACGGATTTAACGACAATATCCTATTATTTGTCTTAATTTCCTTGTTTGTTTTTAAGCACTTTATTTCTTGGCTGAATTGATATTCTTGTTGCTTTCTTATAACAATCTTTTCAGCTAGTTTTAACTCTTTTACAGATAGGAAGGAAGGATAGGATTCCTTTT